CAGTTTCATTGCTGTCTGACATCCTATCACCGCTGAACAATAAATAGGTGTGAATATTTTTAGGCACGTTGTCGAAACAAATGAATAGGTTTAGGAACAATGCCGTTTTGGACCAGCTTGTTGAAACAATGAAGTCAGTCACGGTCTTGTTGAATTGGGGTTGCGGTTAGTAATAGGTACTTTTCAAGTTTTCAATTTTTGTTAAGAACTCTTCAACCCTGAAGCCAGAATTGGGGGTGCGGTTACTATTACGTATGTGGTTTATATTAGGACTTTAACGGTAATACAGTAAAACCTGTCAAAACCGACCATGACTGGGACTGGGATCTATGGTCGGTTTTCAGAGGGAGTCGGTTTATTCAGGGTGGGCATAACTTCGATTGAAACAACAATTACATGTGCTGTAAACACGGGACAAATGAAAGACACCGAAGTTTGCCTCCGGTGATTATACATGTATTTACATTTATTGTATTGTTTCAATAAAATAATTTACCAAACAAGACAAGAATATTATGGTATGTACATGAAATCAATAAACATTAAAATAACTGTTGGAACAGACCGGGTAAGTATCGCGTATCGTAACTGAAGGCGTCCATTTTGAATGACATCACAACGTAAGTTCACGTGAGCTACATGTAATTATTATAATTTATGCAGACAGTTGATTTTGCTGTTAAGTCAATGAATCAAATTACGATGTAAAAAAATCATCAAGTTTTCACCGCTTTAAAGAACATCTTTTTTCAACGATTTTGTTCGTTCGAATTATGAAATTTTGGATATCTGTCAAGTAGCTGGAGTCTTTGTTTATTGCGAAGTTTTGTAATCTTGTCAACATGTCTAGCACATCGCCATGCGTCAAGTCACGGTCATCGTGGGGGTCAATAATTTGACTGTCGTTGTCATCGTTGTCTGTAGATTCATGGTTTTCTTTGTCTGCAATAAAATTCTCAACAATCTGTTGCTCCCACTCGCCGTCATACATTGCTTCAGTCGGTATACGTTCATCAAAGTGGAGGTATTCTACAACGCTACACTGTGTTTGCGGCTCTGCAACATG